CCAGTTCAGGCCAGTGTCATTTCTTACCCAAAGTCTCCCTGACTTTCATCTTTTTCTAATCTAATCTCCCTGGAGTGGCTGAAGTCCTCTCTTACAATACGAATGTAATCGTGTTTTCCATGCGGAAAATCCTTCTAGTGATCGTCATTAGGATAGCTCCAAAATCTTAATGTTGTTGAAAGGCCAGTGTGATGCAGCCCTGGCTTCAGTCACCAGCCTCATTTCTAGCCCCTCTCCCTCTCAAACTATGTACCAGGTAGAGCGAAATACCAGTTTCTGAACAAGCTACGCTCTTTCACTTTCCTGTAGGTCTTCTGTTTGGAAAATGCTTCCCTCTACCAGTCTCTGCTCTCAGCCTTCCCTGACGACTACACTGATAACTGCCTTACATGCCCTTACGTACTCTTGCTGAGTGTCCCATTGTATCTGTACTCGCTGCAGTATTTATCTCACTTTATTGAACTTAACTTGTTGACTTGTCTCTCTTTAATTAAATCATCCACTGCCTGAGGTCGGAGGTCATGGCTGTTTCATCGACTGTGCATCTTCAGTGCGTAGCACAGTGCTGATACATAAGTAGTCACGTGTTAGCTTTTGTTGTTATTGCCGAGTAAACGTCTGTTGATAAATACCTTTCAGAAGTCAGCTTAGATAGTACTTTTTTAGCCCTTTTTAAGTCCTTTGTTTCTGAGAAAGTACAAGTCTTTCTGTGCTGAATATGAGATTCATATTCGAATCTCTGTGGATTTCCTTAATACTGCTTACCCAGGTCTTATAGATACCAGATTGTTATTTTGTTGTCATCTTCTGATCCAGTCTCATCTGTCAGGATCACTTGGAAATGGCGTTCAGAACTAATAAGCCTGATAATTAATAAGCTTAAATAAATAATAAATAAATAAGCAGGATAATTTAGAGAACTTGTTCTTGATACAGGGTCTGCTTCATTTGATATCCTTTAGGATCAGTTTGATTATCTTTTCCTTTTCAAAGCATGTATTGAATTTATAGTCAGTTGAAAACTTCACATCTTTTGCTTGAGGAATTTTGAGTTGTTAAATCTAAATAAATAAATAGACCTAACTAAGGGATTTTGAGCCTTTATCCTTGCTTTAATATGCTGTTCACTTATACCCATTATTCCAGTCTTTTCCTTTGTCTTGATTTGGTTATCCTTACACTTAACTACTTTTTCTTGCCATGTGTAATTCATAAATCTAGGAAGCATGTTAACTAAGGCACGAGGCCTATTATCTGATCTTATCTAAATTGATTAATGAAACTCTCTCTGGTGTCCTTCACATTGTATGAACGATTGAAAGCCATCTGACTCTATAGTCTTTAACCTGTTTATAAATGTATTTAAATACCCACTAATCCATTACATCTAAGGGATGTGAAATTTTCTTTCCTTTTTTTTTTTTTTTTTGAAAACTTTGCTGATAATAGAAATATCCTACATTATTGTCCAGTCCAGAAAAGCCTTCAGAAAATAGTTTACATGACCTGTTTGGAATACTTTTGGTAGTATCTAATGATTATCAGACCATCTGTTTAATTATCTCTTCTAGTATTTAGCAGGGATTGACCTCTGTTCCACATTTCAATGAATCTTCTTTTCACTTTTGAAAATTTTAGGCAATATATTGCTTGTTTGGTTCCATTTGACAGTTCCCTTATGCTCATTAAGTTCCCAGAGCTCACTGACTGTGTCTCTGTCATCAGATTATGATCAGATTTGTTTGATTAGAGAGTTAATTTATCAAAAATTAATAGTTTTCTTAATATTTCCTCTATTCATTCCACTTTGAAAATTGTTCTCATGGGTGGATAAAATTGAGCAAGAAAAAGGAATAACATAGATTTACTTTATTTTTTTGGTAAGTATAATAATATCCCAAAGCAATAATTCTCTTTCATTTCAGCACTTTTGCCTTAGGATATTTTTATAAGTGTTGGATCATTTTAAAAATCTTAATGTTTTAGGTGTCTCAACCAAATTGAATATTTTTACAAATGTCCTTTTAAAAATTTAAACTTATTAGAGATAACTTACTAGTAATCATACTTCTGTCTTTAATTTCTCATAAAGATTATTCATGTGACTGTCTTTTTATTTTTTCTATTTATTTTTTATTTTAACTTTTTTCATTCCAGTTTAATTTAGTGCTTAAGAATATAGGTTTTAGAATCAGATTTAAATTTGAATTTTGGCTCTGCCTCTTGATGACTATGTCCTTAAATGAATGAACTTCTCTGAACTAGTTGATTCATCATAAAAATCCCCATTTTAATAAGAGTAACTGCCATACAGGATTATTGTTGGGATTTAATGAGGTAAAATACATATAAAACACATAACCCAGTGTCTAGCAGCTGATAAACTCTAATACAGTGCCTGACGTCTAGTAGATACTATTAGAGTTTTCCTATTTCTTAGGATTTTGAAATCCATTTTCCTAAAGAATAAGACATTTGTCTAGCTCTCTGTGCTCTTTATTCCCTACTTTGAATTCAAGATGATGCTTACCATTTCCCACTTTCTTACTATTTTTGTTGTTGTTGAAAATGTCGTGATTGTTTTCTCTTTTATGGCTGAATAATATTCCTATGTATGTATACCACACATTTTTAAACTATTTTTTGAAGTTTAATTGAATATCGTAGTAGTTTCAGGTGTACAACAGTGACTTAATATACTCTTACTATTTCTTACTTTCTCATTTAGGTTCAGAGGAGTGTATTTTTAACACCTTCATTGAGATACAGTTCCTATATCCCTCCTCACCCATTTAAAGTGTCAGTGTTTTTTATTTTGTTTGTTTTTTAAAGTATGTTCACAGCGTTGTGCAGTTGTCAGCATGATCCTAATTCCAGAGCATTTTTTTCACCTCAGAAAGAAACCCCATGTCCACTGGCAGTGACTCTGCCTTCCTCCCTTCTCCCAGGCCCTGGAAACCACTAATCTACTTTCTGGGATTGTGGAATTGCCTATTTTGGACTTTTCACATAAACGGAATTCACACAGTATGTGGCCTTTACGTCTCCAGCTTCTTCACTTAGCGCCACGTTCTTGGGGTTCACATGTACTTTGTAACTGTAGAGCCGGAAGTCCCGCCCTGTGGCTAGAGCACATTTGGTTTATCCATTCATCCATTGATGGACATTTGGCTGGTTTCCACTTTGGAACTGTTAGGAATAATACTGCTATGAACGTTTATGTACGGGTTTCCATGTGGACATCTGTTTTCATTTCCCTTGTGTGTAAACCTTAGGAGTGGATTTGTTGGGTCACATGGTAGTTCTGTGTTTGGCCTTTCGAGGAGCTCTGTTTACAGAGTGGCTGCGCTGTCGTCCACCAGCAGAGTGAGTTCGGTTGCCCACGTCCTCCCAGGAGTAGCAGTGGTGCTGTTTTTGATTTGAACCATTTTCATAGGTGTGTAGTAGTAGCTCCTGGGCATTTCAATTTGTGTTTCTTTAGTGGCTTGTGATGTGGAGTATGTTTTTAGGGGCTGATTTTCCATCTCTGCATTGTCTTTTGTGACATAACCTCTTTAACTATTTTGTCTGGCTTTTTATTGGATATGTTATTTGAGAGCTCTTTATGCAAAGAATATACATCCTTTATCAAAAAGAAGTTTTGCAAATATTTTTTCTCCATCTGTGGCTTCTCTGTCTCTATTCTTAATATTAGCTTTGGAACAGGAGAAGTTTTTAATTTTGATATAGTCTCATCTTTTTTTTTTTTCTTTCATGGATTGTGCCCGTGACGTAGTGTGACCCTAACTCAGGGTCACAAAGATTCTTTACTATGTTTTTGGCCATAAGTTTTATAGTCTTGAGTTTTATAATAAAGTCCATGATTCATTTTTTTTTTTTTTTTTTTTTTAAAGATTTTATTTACTTATTTGACAGACAGAGATCACAAGTAGGCAAAGAGGCAGGCAGAGAGAGAGGAAGGGAAGCAGGCTCCCTGCTGAGCAGAGAGCCCGACGTGGGGCTCGATCCCAGGACCCTGGGATCATGACCTGGGCCGAAGGCAGAGGCTTTAACCCACTGAGCCACCCAGGTGCCCCGTCCATGATTCATTTTGAGTTAATTTTTGTATATATGCTTGTGATTGGATTTTTAGTGTTGCTGTATTGCCTTTAGTTTACTAAGCTCTCATTCCCAAAATGCAGGAAATTTTTTAAATGAATGCATAAAACTAATTGGAAAGGTAAACTTCTTAAATTACCAGACGATTTTAATACAAATTCTTGAAAAGGATATGTTCATTGTTCGTCATATTCTATTTAATGCTGTGAAATTATATTCATCTTGCCTGTTTTATAAAGAGGTATTCAGACATTTTAATTGTTAAAATGTTAAAATGTTAAAAAGCAGCATTCAGTTTAAATTACAGTTGGAATGTTCTGTTGAGAAAATAATAAATGAAGCCAGTTTAATATTTTACAAATACCAGTAATTAGTAGGAGTCAGAGGACCTTCTTCTCTTTCAGGATCTTCTTTCCCACTTGTTGCCCTCTTCCTGGATCAGATCCCTGTGTAGTTCATTCCCTCTCTTTGTGCATGTGTCAGAAAAGCTTTCCCCACTGACCATGCTCTTTTTAAAATGGTAGCCTTACTCCTTCCAGCAGTCATGGTTCCTCTTTCTGTTTTATTTTTCTCTGAGCACTTTACTATCCTCTGTGTGAATTTTACTTAATCTGCCTCCCTTCCCAGAATATAAGCTCCCTGGGGGCAGCATTTTGATCACTGATGTGTGCCTGGTGTATTGTAGGTGCTCAGTAAATGTTGAAGGAAAGAACAAATTAATACATGAACTACATGAAACATTTATTTGCCACCGTATTCATTTTGAACTTTAGAGCTTCTGATAGGGACATAGTAACAAAAGAGACTATCTGACAGTAGATTATTTATAATGTTTCAGTAAATACTTGCTTTAGGAACCTTTATTCTTATTTTTGTGATTTTTAAAAAATTATTATCTACAGGGTTCAGTTTGGCAAAGACTTGGTGCAGATGTGACAGCAGTTGAGTTTTTAGGTCATGTTGGTGGAGTTGGAATTGATATGGAGATATCTAAGAACTTTCAACGCATCCTTCAAAAACAAGGATTTAAATTTAAATTGAATACAAAAGTTACTGGTGCTACCAAGAAGTCAGATGGAAAAATTGATGTTTCGTAAGTATGCTTCATTTGGTTTTAATACAATATCTTGATCTGTTTGCTTAAGGAAAACACTTTTTTTTTTTTTTAAAGATTTTATTTATTTTACAGAGAGAGATCACAAGTAGACAGAGAGGCAGGCAGAGAGAGAGAGGGAAGCAGGCTCCCTGCTGAGCAGAGAGCCCGATGCGGGACTCGATCCCAGGACCCTGAGATCATGACCTGAGCCGAAGGCAGCGGCTTAACCCACTGAGCCACCCAGGCACCCAAGGAAAACACTCTTTTTCAGAATCAGATTTTGTTATGACTTAGGGCCATTTTATTGCTTAATATAACTCTGTATTGCTTATTAAGTCTGTCCATTGAAATTCCTGATGAAGTTGATGCTAGAAAATTTAATCGAGTGTTCTCACTGTAATGTGCTTCCTCCTGGTATACATTTGGAAATATTTACATTCTTAATATTCAGTAAAACTCAGTATTTTTAGATATATAGGGGGAAATCAATAAGAATATTAGATTGTTTACTGTGTGCCTGGCACTCTTCTTACTAAATACCCCTATAACATAATGAAATTACTTGCCTAAGGTCACACAGCAAGTGAGGGGTGGGGCCATTGCTTGATCTTCTGATTGTAAGACCTATGTTCTTGTTTTTTGTTTTTGTGAGGTTTGACTGATAGACCTCTAGAGGATTTGTACGTTTTCATTGCATGACTCCTGTTTGTTTAAAGTGTCAGCATCACTCGAGAAACATCTGTTCTTACATTTCTAAGTCTGTCAGTTGTTTCTGTTGATGTGTGATTAATAGTCACACACTGTTCATTGTCTAGTATTGAAGGTGCTTCTGGTGGGAAAGCCGAAGTTATCACATGTGACGTACTCTTGGTTTGCATTGGCCGACGACCCTTTACTCAGAACTTGGGACTGGAAGCGCTTGGAATTGAACTAGATCCTAGAGGTAGAATTCCAGTCAATACCAGATTCCAAACTAAAATTCCAAAGTAAGTTGGATAATTATGTGCATTTCAAAAAACTTAAAAATTTATGTTAAATACTATTTTGAAAATAAGACTTGTCATGCTTAAATGCACTGGCTTTGGGGAAGAAGAGTAAACTCATCTGTGGAAACAGAAAGAATTGAATGTTTTCATTACCCAGAGATGAGAACCTGAACTCACAGATACCCATTTTGTCTATTTTTTTGGTTACTTAGTAACTAGAAACTTCTGTTACCATGGCGTAATGAAGATGAGTAGCTGTGGCGGCAGAAGTTGACTGTGTTCCTTTTCTTCTCTGTGGTAGTATCTACGCTATTGGGGACGTGGTTGCTGGTCCAATGCTGGCTCACAAAGCAGAGGATGAAGGCATCATCTGTGTTGAAGGAATGGCTGGTGGCGCCGTGCACATTGACTACAACTGTGTACCCTCTGTGATTTACACACACCCTGAAGTTGCTTGGGTCGGCAAATCAGAGGAGCAGCTGAAGGAAGAGGTAATTCTGAATGCTGGGGTATTTTTAATGCCATTGTATGAATTGAGTTAATGACTCTGGTGGCTGAGAATCATTTTATTATTAATGCATTTTGAAATTATGTAGAACATTATATATATTTTTCCTTTGTCGGTAGCATAGAGGAGATCATTCACTTGCCTGTCTTCAAAGTGATAATTCCAGAGCTGTTACATTTTCCTTTGAAATATACCCCGATGAACTGATGTTTGCGTTTGCTTGTGTTTGTACCCAGAATGTATCTCATTAGCAAGCCCTTAATATACTCTGAAGAGTTGCCTTCTTGGGATTTATTTTCTGAACATATGGTGGATGATTGCACCAGCGGGAATACATTTTTTCAGTGTTTATGTAGGTTCGCATTTTCTTTCTCTTGCAGGGTATTGAGTACAAGGTTGGGAAATTCCCCTTTGCTGCTAACAGCAGAGCTAAGACAAATGCGGACACAGATGGCATGGTGAAGATTCTGGGACAGAAATCAACCGACAGGGTGTTGGGAGCACACATTCTAGGACCGGTGAGTATCTGAAAGCCCCAAACCCCATTACGATTTCTGGAAAGCGTTGCTGTTTAGACTCAAAGCCAGCTGCTCTTTACATCCTGAGGTCGTTATTTACCAGCAGAAGTTCGTGTGTTTCTGACAAGGCAACCGGCAGCACTCTCATGGGCTGGCTCGTCACATCATCTGCTTTCCGTTCTGCAGCTGCCATTATCCTCTTGAAACCTACACCAGGCCCTGTGCCTGCTGAAAACTCTCCAGTGGCCTTTTTCTGCCTTGGGCTGTTACATGTGGTAACAAGGCCCCACGAAATCTGGTCCTGTGTGGCTTCCTGAACTCCTGTCTTTCCACTCTTCCCTTTCGCTTAGTAATTCCCTGCCTCATGGGCCGTCTCTTAGTTTCCTAACAGGCCAGTGTTCCCACGTCAGCGCCTTTGTGCTTGTGGAACCCGTTGCTTGGAATGCTGTGCCTCCAGGTCTTTGTATGACTTGTTTCTGTTAGGTCTCAGCTCAGATGTTACCTCCTCAGAGAGGCCCTTCCTCCCACAGGCTCTGAAGTATGCACTTCCCTTGGGATCTGCCGCAGAATTGGTAATAAGACATTGGAGTCCTTAGTCTGTAACACATTTTTATGTATACATGCAGTAACTTTAGTGTTCACGGTTGTGGGGGCAGGAGTTGCTCTCCCCATTTTGAAGTGAATAAATGGAATGAAGCACGAAGTGAGTGCTCGAAGGGACTCAGCTGTAGGATTAAAATCCAGGCCAGCTGGCTCTGGAGTCCAAGCGCTTCTCTTCTGTGCTGCCTTTCCTATTAAGCTTTTCCTGCCTGGAGGCAGTTAGTTAACTGCTCTAGCAGTGAATCCCGTTAGCTTGTAGTTTTTGCCAGGGGAAGAAAATGACTTCTTGGTCTGTTCTCTTAATAAAGGGCGCTGGTGAAATGGTGAATGAAGCCGCTCTCGCGCTGGAGTACGGAGCATCCTGTGAGGATATAGCCAGAGTCTGCCATGCACATCCGGTAATCATGGACAACACGCAGAATTAGTGGTTACCTCAGGTTTCTTCTCACCCACAAGTATTTGGTTTCTAATTTTAAATTTCTTCCCTTACAGACCTTATCAGAAGCTTTTAGAGAAGCAAACCTGGCTGCATCGTTCGGCAAATCAATCAACTTTTAAATTAGAAGATTATATTTTTCTGAAATTTCCTGGGAGCTTTTGTGGAGGTCACATTTCTGAATAGGAAATGCTCACAGCTCCAAGAATTTCTAGGACTGAATTACGAAACTTTTGGAAGGTTTTAATAGGTTCGGAGAGAATGGAATAATCTCATCTATTTTAAAATAAATTGAATATTTTGTTTCAGTGCATTGAAATTGCAGAAAAAGCTACTTAATAGTAGCATCCTGGAAAATTTTCTTCAACCCATATTTTCATGTTGTTTCTGAACGATTCGACTTTACTAAACTTACATTACATAGCTTTTATCTCTGCTCTTGTAAAGTTGGATTTACTTACGTGGATGGAGCTGGCATAGGGTATGTGAGCCAGCTGTGTTTGAAGCAAGGCGATCAAGTTATTTTAAACTTGGTTTTCGTATTAGAAACAGTCATTAGGATCAGATTAAAATATGTATAAACCATACTGATGTAAATAAATGATCTCACTTATTTTATTTAATCCCCAAATTCTTGCAGCTTAGAGGTAGAATTTATGTTTAAATTTTTAAGGACCCATTGAGGTCTGCAGTTTCTAGTTACCCAGTTAGCCAAATTAAGGAGGTATATCTGTGAAATTCAAATATTAAATGAAGACATAACTGTATTACAGCGGGGAATGAAAATACAGAAATAAATAGTCTTAAATATTCATTTACCTGTTGTTTTGAGTGGATGTCAAGATGGTCCTAATTCTTTTATGACTACCTGTAGTGTATATTCTTACCTTACATCTGTTTATTCCTCTTCTAGGCCTGGATGTATCTTTTTACCACACTGGGGGACGACATTAAGGCATTTAAAAGGTCATTACCCTTTCATCTGTTGTAGTGATACCAGCTAACTGTGGAGCATACACTTTTGGAGATACAGCATATGGAAAATTTAATCTGTTTTCTCCTGTGGCTTTCTAGTGTATCCGTGGCTGGGTAAATGACTTTCTTTAAAGAGTGCTATAAAATCATATTTATCGATTAATGTTTAAAATGGCCAGCTTTTGAAACACTTCAGTAACAAAGTATTAAATGTTAAAATAGGTTTTTGCATATTTTAACTAAATTAAAGAATCAGATTAAGTAGTTCTCAAATTTAGGATAGCATATTCTAACAAGGAAAAACTAAAAGTACTAGAAATGTGCAAACTAGATACTCACTTGATTGCAACTTACAGATCACAGCCTAAGGGAAAGTTTAGAGAGTGTAATGAGTCAGCAGAAGGCTATGTGGGATAAGGTACTGTCAATCGCTCAGTTAGAAGGAAAGTGTTGAGTTGTCCTCAGGTTTTAATTGCATCATCGGTGGGTCACATTTCCCTTTTTCTTCTGTGTCCAGTAGTCTGGGACTGTGATAGTCATGAATGATCCATTATAAAGACTTTGGATTCTCTTACTTACCTCGGAAAAATAGGGAGTTTCTCTCTCAGTGGGCAGTTAACTTGGCTGAACCCCAGCTCCATTTTTGCTGGGGGCAGCAGCTGAAACATTTACCCAGTCATTTCAGCTTCACCTTGGCTGCATTACATCTGCCCCACGCATGTGTAGTTCATAGGTCAACTGGACACTGGGCAACTTATATGCAGAGTTGGGGGGCCCTCCCCACATGTGTCTTCTGGGGCTCCCCCTGCCTCATATTTTATTCTCGATGCCCCTGACTCAGTCTTCCAATTCCCTAATCAGTAAAACTTGGCTTCTGCCAAGTGTGATACTTGCTGGGACCCAGTGCTGTTCTCGGACACCTCCCCTCTATCTCCTGCCTGCTTCTGGTGGGTCTCCAGGACCTTTACTTTAAAACATCTGTATTTTGGTGGCGCCTGGGTGGCTCAGTGGGTTAAGCCTCTGCCTTCGGCTCAGGTCATGATCTCAGGGTCCTGGGATCGAGCCCGGGATCGAGCCCTGCGTCGGGCTCTCTGCTCAGCGGGGAGCCTGCTTCCCTTCCTCTCTCTCTCTGCCTGCCTCTCTGCCTACTTGTGATCTCTGTCTGTCAAATAAATAAAAATCTTAAAAAAAAAAAAATCTGTATTTTCAGATTCTGCAGTAGTCATAGCAGGAGGGCTGGCTTGAGACATGCTACTATGCCATTATTGGAAATTACCTCTGTGTGTTTAAAAATCTGAAATCCCAGTATTATGTGAAGTGCTAGTTTAAACTTCAAACATGTTACCTACTTTAGGGAAAGAAATATAGTGAGAAATAGAATTTAATATGAAGTTCGAGTTATAGAAACACAAAATAGTTAAATATATCTAGGCAGGAATAAGTTGTGGGTATAAAACAGACTTTAAATATTTATTATTTATTAAGTTCTCACTATTTTCTTGGCTTGTGAGGATGGGAAGTAGTTGTCCAGTTCCCTGAGTTAATTAAAATGAGTGATTTTGAAGTAACATCTTTAGTCGTTTAGAGAGGAATGGGTAGTAGAAAAGACTTCAATTTTAAATAAAATACTTAAAATTAAGGGAAAAAATTAGTTGCTGTAGTAGATGATGAGGTAAAACCACTTTGCTAGGTAGTAGGATTTCTACCTAAATAAAAATGACAAATTAATTGCCTTGAAGGAGAGGGAGGTTGCCTTATTGTTTAAATTATATCTGTTTACATAAGTTTGGTTCAGTGCTACCCAGAACTGGTGTTGTTCTAAAAATTTGGCAAAAGACCACTGAGGGCTTGGCCTGTTCTCCAGCTCCGCTCTGAGGTTGACATGGGTTTGGCAGTTGGAATACAACTGTTTTCTTTATCCCGTGGAATAAGTGATTGTTCTGTGATTGTTTTGGCCTCTCGTACAGACCGTAGCAGAGAATCTCTAGTTTGTGAAATCTAATAAAGCCAGTATAAATACTGGGAAGTCACAGTATCATTTTGTACTTTGATTGGCACTGCTCAGTTGGCAGGAGCAATGTTCCTAAACTCTGGCTGGATTTCATTTCAGCCTTCACCCTCACCACCTAGAATAGGGCCAGGATTGCTCACACTTAAAAGCCACAGTTTACCCTCCTGATTTTCTGAAAATTGCTTTTTGTTCTCTTTCCCAGAGCAAGGAATCCTTAGAGGAGTTTTGGGAGATTGGAGCCACTGAGTAGCCACTGAAATGGAGAAGGGTGGGGAGGGCCTCAGGCTATATCCTCCCCTACCTCCCCCACTCCCCAGCCCCTAACCCCGGCCACCCCACTGGGAGGTGATTTGGGGGCAGATGTGTGGTGGATATTGACTTAGCAAACATGATAGCTTGTTTACATACAAAATAGAAATCAGGTCCCGTGAAGGCAGTTTATAAAACCATTTTACATTGAAAATATCCTTGCTTCAAGGGATTCACAAACATTAAATCAGTAAAATTTAAGAATTATCCCAAATATATATTTATACAAAAGGACTGTATTTTATTTTTAACTTCGTACAAAATGTGATTAAAAACATTAAATAGGTAATGAGTTGTATTTTGAAGATCATGAAGTCAGTTTTTTAAATGGAGCTCTTCTCCTTTGGCTACCTCGGCCACCTTCGAGCCTTTCCTCCTCCGTTACAAGCACGTGCTATAAACAGCAACCTTCTGGCTTATATCCTTTAGGAGCGAACGGACCTCTCCTTCTAATCTTACTAATTCTTGAGCTTTATCTTCTAAATATTTTTGATTGTCCTCGTATTTTCTTTCTAAATCTGTGGGAGATAAAAAGAGATAGTCTGAGCCAATTATACTAGAATGATCTCCATCTCCTGCTGCTCCAAAACAAAGTGAACAGATTTTCAACCTTTTAAATAAACTCTGTGGAGGTCTTATGTTAAAATACTTTATGAAAGCACGAGCCTGGGACCCACCTTTCAGGAGCTGGAGCTTGCTGTTGGCTTGAGCCAGAAGTGTTTTTGCTTCATTTTGTAGCATTTCAGCTTTCCTTCTGGCATCCGCGGATTCTTCGGTTTTTTTGGCAATTAATTTTTCCACCTTCTTATACTTTTCATCCACTTCGCCATCTAGAGCCTGCAGTTCCAGTTAGAGAGCAGGGATACATGTAATCTCTGACATTAAGAGTGTCCTTGTGGCAAGCTCAGAAGGGTACTCAGGCATTAAGCTATTTGCTGTAAATAATTAAATATTCTGAAACAGTGGAATTACAGTACTGACATAGGAGTTGTGTTTTTTTTTTTTTTTTTTTTTAAATGAAAGATCTGAAAGACACTTTAGAGTTGGAGCAGGGCTCCAGGCCTCCTTTCTACTGTCAGCACTTTCCTCTGGCGATGGCGGAAGACAATTATATGGCAGTAAAGAAGTAGGTTTTCTCTAAGTAGGTTTGCTGTGATCCAGTGTTAGATATCAGAAAAGGCCCATCTGAAGAGCTGATAGGAGGACCATCTGGACTGTGACTAGTGTGGGCGTGCAGAGACTGAGGGAAGGAAGGGGAGATGAGAAATTGGTGTGGGTTTGACCTGCAGGTGCTGCTTCGGAGAAACAATGTTCAAACAATAGCCATTGATAAAGGGACCTAGCACAGTGTCAGGGGGCTTGTTCATCTTAGTGTAATCAAATGCTATGTTTTGGGGGAAAATGCTATGTAAAAAGACTACTTGGGGAGACGTATGCTCTCAGCACCCCGAGAAAGTACAAACGTGATAGAAAAGAAGGACGGGGTAGTACACTTTGCTTTCTGCTTTGTTCTCTTCCCAAACTGGAGCGGGGAGAGGTCTCCCTTCTGTAATGCCTAAATGCTACATTAACCTCAAGGAAAAATCTTGACGAAATAGTTTATAACTCCCTGCTATTCATTTAACAGTTGGCACATTCCCCTCAAAAGTGTAAAGAGGTTTCTTGGGGAAATAAACATTTGCCCACTGAATGTGTGTTTTAATGATTACTTGGCTTCTAATGAAAAATTTGGGTTGTATGAGCTTTTCTCTGCAACGTATAGTACCTTCCAGTGAGAAGCATGAATGCGAGTGGAAGAAGTGAGATTTAGTTCCCTGCTAGTGGTTCTGTGACGGACTCCTAAAGCTTTTCCTACTCTGCTTTTTTCAAGATTTCTCAAATGGCCAAGTTAGTACCGTATGCCATAAAGGCCTTCCTACTTGAATTACCAAAGTATAAGCTCCGTGTGCTTGTTTTAAGACTTCCACCCCTAAGTTAATTTCATTTTTCTGTGTCCTTATCCATGTGTGGCTTATGAGGGCTTAGGTCACACTTCTTGGACACTTTCATATCCACTCCCACTCTTTTCCATCTGGGTCTCTAATGACTGCTATTTCAAAACAAGTCAACTGGGGATATTTCTGATGAATAACCGTTGGGTCCATGTCCCTTACTGATTCCAAGGAAGGCAATAAGGAGACTCCTTGCTCCTTTATGAACACAGCTATGAAGTTGCAAAACTTTACTCACCTTTTTAACATCATCTGCACTTTGTTTCACAGTGTACACTACTTTTTCAATGTATTCTGCCTCCCCAGAATTCTGGGCCGCCTTCCGCTTCAGCTCTTCCACGTTCCTCTCTAGCTCACTGATGCGCTGGGAGGCGTTGAGCAAGGTCTCCTCAGAAGCAGCGGTTTCAGACTCAATCTGCAAGTATAAGGTCAGTCACCCAGCCAGCCATTAATTTAACAAGTGGTCGGGCGTGCTAGGGATACAAGTTTAGAGGAAGATTAAAGGCTGCTTATGCTCTCTTGCCCTGGACCCAAAGAAAAAAATTACTAAAAAGAAAAGAGAATTTCAAGGAAGCTTACATAAAGTGCCCAGCTTTATTCTTCTTGTAATTCTGATGATCTTGGCTGGAAATTCATGTAAACTTCTTACCGAACCACCCCCAGACAGCTTGATGTATTGAGAAAGCATTTTAAGGACACCTGGAAGCTTTGGCTAAACAATGGTCACAAATAAGCAGATGTGAGAGGAAGGATTTCCACAGAAATTTCCAAATTCATGTGGGTGGGAAAATGATAACTCCCAAGTCACCTTTTGTTTTTCCTGTCAACTCGAAATGTTAAACTCTAGTAGAGGTTATGGGTCTTCAGAAACCACCCGGAAAGTTGAGTGTCCTCAGCTAATTACCAAAGGCAGACCAGGGATGTTCTTGAAAACTTGGAGAAGTCACTCTAGGACTGTGAGATGGCATGTCGCTTGGGACCCATAAATACTCAAAGTAATTTAGTGAAAAAATTTCTGGGTAATTGGCGAGGATCCACCTATGATCTCTTTTCAAAGAATAATCAGTGAACATTGATTTTTAAAAGCTAGCCCAAGTTAAGCAGTCTGACCCATGACAGAAGCACTAGTTTCACTGAGCACCTTGGGTTTTTTTGTTTTTTTTTTAATTATCTTCAAGCATTGGTCTATTCATAGAATTAAGTCTGAAGAATAATACAGACATGGCAAAATTTGTAAGTATTTCAAACCAAATGATTGTTAACCTAAAAGTTCAACCATTAATTAACATAGAAAAATATTCTTAGTAGTTCTGATTCTTAGACGATAGCTGTATAGTTTTAAATATAAATGATTCTGTTTGAAAAGCTTTCATTAAAAGCATAGTTTAGACATTCTTTTTGCTTCTTAATCTAAAACGCTTCTTGTCCCCCAGGGTCCCTGAAAAAAAAACCCATTGTTCACTTGGACTGTCAAGCCAAATATCCCACCTGTAGTTCCATTAAACCCTATATTTTCTATTTTGCTTCTCAAAACTTAGTAATTTTTTAAAAAAGATTTACTTACTTTAAAGAGCATGTGTCTGCAAAGCAGGGAAAAGGGCAAAGGAAGAGGGGGAGAGCATCTCAAACAGACCTCTGAGCTGAGCACGGAGCACGACTCGGAGGTTGATCTCA